CAGTGCTGAGCTCCTGTCTTATGACATGAAGGCACTGGAGATATCTGCTCTTGTTCGTTGTAAGAGAGATCATAGATTAGCTGCTAGTAATGATGAGCCTCATCCAATTACTATCTGTCATACTGAAGATCCACCAGTAGTTGGTTGCAGTCTTGAAAATGATCTTGAGCCAGTTGCAATAGACAACGAGAGACAAAACTGTTGGCTAACTGGTAAGTACTTACATGATTATTTATTTTATTAAAATCATTATAACAGATCCAGTTGTTGCATCACTTGTTCCTATTCACAACTTTTTACCAGAAGGTTCTGTATTAAGTGAGTGAATGTGTTAATATTACTATTAATAGATAATGTGTGTATTTATTTACAGGTGAGTCTCATGCTCCTGTCATACTAAAAGCCATCAATAGCATAGTCAATGAATGGGAGACTCTAGGACTATATCTTGGAATTAAAAATAAAGATTTAAAAACAATTTATTTTAATTCTCTACATCAAATAGATATATGCCGTAAAGACATGATAGTTCACTGGTTAAAGACTGGTACTGCTACAAGGGAAAAGCTGATAAAAGCACTTGAGGATTTGGAAAGAAATGATGTTGCTGCTGAAGTTAAGCGTCTACCTAAACAATAACAACTAATAATGATTGTTATTATTATTATTATTACAAATAATATTTCTTATTTTTTGTTTTTCTCTTACATACACCTCCTTCTCTTCCTTTTTCCCTCTCTTTATCTTTTTTGCTATTACTAGTAGAGCTATAATCGTTTTTGTTAATTCTTTCTATTTTGAAGTTTCCATTACATTTTAAAATTATTATTAGTATTATTTTCTATTTTTGTCAATTCTTCCTATTTTCAAGTTTCTATTCAAACTTTTACAATACTATATTATTCAAATCATGCGTTTACCCCATTAGATACATGCAGTGCAGCAACTTTACTCAATAGATCTACCCATGTGTATACATGTGGTGTATCTAGCAGTGTAAAGGGTCAATCCTGTGAGGAGGTCCTTCTTCAACAACCCGTTAGTCATATCAATCTCATTGACTGGACCACTTGTGAGACAATAGACAATGTTATGACTTCTAGTGTAACATTAAAAGATTGATACTTTTATCTTGTGTATTCTTCAATGGATCTGGTGTAATGTATCAGATAATGTAGGATATGGTATGCATTCACCACCAGTCCTATATAATGACTATCACTCACTTCTCATCAATACTACAATCATTCTATGTATCATTGCTGTTAATTTATTAGCTGCTAAAAGGGCATTATTAAAATAAAAGCATTAACACAAAAATAAAAGTAAAAAAATATCAATTAATACATGCATTACAGAGGATTGTTTTATTATTGTTATTACTTATTACATGTACATCATTATTACTGTCATTATCATTAGCTACTACATGTATTGTTATGTAGGATGCTTCACATAAACCCCATTACCATTACTCCCCATATATTCAGTCCAAGGTTGTTTATCCATTGGCCAGTAGTCAGATGATACTCCTTGTACCTGAGTCCCATAAATAGCCTTAAGTTTATTCTCAATAATCAAACTCTGTACAATAAGTTGAGGTGGATGAATGAAGCCCGGTACTTTTACACTATAAGGACTAGGTACTGCTGTATAAGTAAGGGACACAATAGCTTCAACTTTACCATCTCCATCACAGTCAGTTATAACAGGAGTCCCTGCTAATAGCACAGGGGCCATGACGTGAGCACAACAAAGTCCCTTGTGGTCTTTCATTAGTTTCTTTATCATCATTAGTTCAATGTCCTCCATTGATTGCTCACCAGTATCATTTATAGTTGGTCCATTCTTTTCACCATGATGTTGCTTCAAGTCTTTATGAGTTACCTCAAGCAATTAAAATAAAATTTAACTTTACAAACTTTATAATGACAATTGTTCCAAAAATTCCTTTGATTTTTGTGGTACAAATTTTTTGTGGATAGTACTGGGATTTTGGCTCAATTTTGAAGTACTGAAAAATTTGTTAAAAACAAAACATAACCAGAATCAGTTCAAACTTTGTACGCAACTTAAGTTCAAGTATATGTATCATAAAATCAATTAAGAATAAAAAATTCCCTAGGCATTTTTGACAAAATATTGGACCACAGCAATTTCTATCTACACTTAATAATTTCAGTTTTGAGAGTAACTTACTGTCTATGTAAGTATCAAAGGACATGACTGGTATAAGATCAGTTAGTGATTCTATCAATTTCCTGTTCAAGAAGTAAAGATTAGCTAGCAACAGATCAGGATCTTATCCACAGTAATCCTTCATGAAAGACTCTGGGCTCTCATCAGGATCAGGAAAGATATCCATTGGTCCATTGCTCTCCCACAGATCATCAGGATAATACTCACTGAAGTCAATGTCAATCATGCTTTCTTGAGGAGGGATTCTGGCATCATTATCAGTGGAACCTTGGAGCAATCCATCATCATTACCATGTCTTCTTTGACAAGAATGCAATAGAACATCAAGAGGATTAAGAACACATCTATCATTATCTTTTTCAAAGTGTTTCATTGGACACTGTGATCTTTTAGTACTCCTACCATCATTTGGAGAATGAGAGGATCGTTCACCTGAATTAATGATATCATCAATCTTTTTATTACAACCAATTCCAAGAAACAGGAAACCATCATCTCCTCTAGTCTTGCTCTGAAGAGTGACTGGTGATGCCATTGCTGCCTGTGAGCAGTTAATACGCCAGAGGATATCACCATTCCTCCCATCAAGGACTGTTATGTAAGAGTATACTCATAACTCATCCACCTCCCTTTGTTAAATAAATAAAATAAATATATTTCACAATAAGAACACATTATTTTATACAAAATAAGTCATATTTGCCACTAGAAAATTTAAGCAAATAATTTTGATTGAGCAATACAAATAATGACAATACTATAATGTACCTGTATGTTTGTGTGTCTGGTGAGTAATGATCCCAAGTTATTAATCCACTTGCTCCATCATAAAGCATGTGTGTGATCATTAAACTGAGACACTGATAGATCCAAATGATTGTCATTGTTCACATCAGCTATTACTGGAGGTAGCATAGTACCAGACACACTAGCAGGTATCAGCTCATAGACACATAATCTGAATACATTCCAAATTGGACTAACACCACCAGCTAGTACTGCATGGAGAGGCTTTCATCAACTCATCATGTTTTGAGTTAGAGTATATCCCACGGATAAGTTTGGGTCTCAGTTTTGTTAACTGTTCCTCAGTGTACATGTAACACACAAAGTTCTTGTATATTTTATTAACAGTGAAAGAGGTTTCCTTCTTGTAACTTGCCACATGATTCAGCTACTCAGTGTCAGAGCCCACAGTGATCCTGGTATAGTTTCACCTCTAGACCCAAACAGAACCAGTTCAATATTATCACTGGGTCTATACAGTACAGGTGAGCTATATGTCTCACGATTATCAGGAATTATTATCCTACGGGGAGACTCTGTCCTGTTGCTCCTGAAATAACAGCTAGGAAACCAGGAGTGCACTTCTTTTCAGTGTCAGAGTATAAAGTGGATCTCCTCCATGAGTCACTATAATATCAGGGACACCTTCTTTATCATAATCCTTAGTAGCCAATGGATAATAGTAGTTATATGGAGGGACAGTAATGGCTGAATCAACAACCCACAGTAACTCCTTGTGCAAGAGATCAAATGCTGCAAGCGGGCTACCTCCTCTACCGGCAAAGATGCAATCAGACTGGCCATCTTTATTGAGGTCTGTCCTATATACAATTTGAAGCAAATGATTCAAATAGAACCCATTCACTCCTATATGGCACCGTCAGAAGCAAGGAGCCTGCAGTCTCAGCCAGTCTGCTGAATCCTCAGTCATTAAAGGGGGCGTGTCAGTTAATAGCCCAACCACACCTTTTTGTCACGTGTGTAAGCATGGCTGGCGAGAGTGGTTTTATCATAGATAATAGTAGTCTCTAGTCTATGGTGTTATACAGGAGCTGCAAGTGTTGATACGAGAGGTACACCAACTTGAGGCGGTAGAGAAAGACCCAGAGGCTTCAGTGAACCATCACATGATGGAGTGACTTAGAAATAATAGAAATGCTTTAATAAAGTAAAGGGTGTACTTTAAAAGCAAGATATGGCCTTTAGACTAGAATCCTTACATTGCTGATACACTGACACTATTGTTAGACTTTATCATAAGTACATGTATGTTTATTTATTGTCATGAGAGTCATGAGACTAGTGTATTTGCTGGGTAAGAATTGGTGTCCATTTTGATATTAAAATTAACTAGTGACTACATGCCCAGTATACAGCATGAGAGAGTATAGGTTTATTTTCTTACCATATATGGAGCTAATGAAAGCATGTGGAAGTAGCTGGGAAGTAGTGATAATCTTGAACTATGTTGAGCTGTTTCACACTTTCTAAATGTACTCTTACATTACATGTACATGTACATGTAGGGTGAAGTTTATATACATGTATTGGTAGCTGTCTTAGAATGTACTTATGTGTATGTGATGTTGATCTTTAAAATATTCAAAACAAATAGTCATACTGTAATTAATCTGAAAATACATTGAAATTGTTTTTCTTTGTAGACTTGGAAGGAGCTTGATTTGCAGATAACTGATTTCACTAATGAGGCAAAAGACAATGTCAAGTTTCTTTACACGTTAGAGAAATACTGTGAACCATTGTACAAATGTAATCCGGTAAGTACTTTTACATGTATATAATTTTTGCTATTATTGTAAGCAGTACATTCCTCATAAATAATAATAATTATTATTTATGTGTACTCAAGATGTGCTTTTAGTGTACTTTATTTGAATATTCACTTGTACTGTAATAGAGAATTTTTTCTAGTTAACTTTGGCCAATGACCCTGTACGTTTGAAGGAGTAGTCCATCACATGCACCTTAACAATAGGAGATTTCATTCAATTTTGTGACATAATTTATTTTCATGTTGCCCTACATGTACATGTACGTGAAAGTTTGTGATTATATTTATTAATTTTATGCTCAAAAAGTGGACCATGTACCATAACAGGGTCTTCAATTTTGTCAATAATTTCTATGACAAGCTTTTGTATTACAGTTTGTACAGGATCTATAGCTTGTATATGATGTCTATCCTATTTATGTTTTCTCCAATTATAATTGATATATTTTTTTATTGAGGTACATGCAAGACTACAGAAGATGGGTGCCATTGCTCCAATGAATATCTTCCTAAGACAAGAGATTGGCCGAATGCAAAGGGTCATTACAATAGTGAGGAACACTTTACAAGATCTACAGCTGGCAATAGATGGCACTATTGTTATGAGTGAAGTAAGAAGTGGGTTATCATCTACAATTATTATTTGAATATGATTTTAGACTCTTCGTAATACTCTTGACAATATGTATGATGCAAGAGTCCCTACAGCCTGGAGAAAAGTTAGTTACATTATATTGTGTGTTGAGTGAAGAAAAACTGGTTTATATTTTGTGGTTTTAATTTTCTGTGGATGGCAGTTTATGAAGCCTGTAATCACGAAATTATACACTAAATAGACAAGAATGAGAGGCATTTTGTTACCAAATATACACCATCATTCTAATTGTGGCAACATGTTGCTTTCAAGATGAAAGTATAGTCTCTAGCATTAAGTGTGCCTATGTAGTGTATGGCCATAAAAGATTGGGAAAGGGCAAAATATTATGTTATGTATGACTAATATTATTTTAATGTAGATATTGTGGGAATCAGCTACCATTGGGTTCTGGTTTACTGAGTTGCTGGAGAGGGATTCTCAGTTCAGGTCCTGGGTATTTGGAGGACGTCCTGATCTGTTTCGGATGACTGGTTTCCTTAATCCTCAAGGATTCCTAACTGCCATGAGACAAGAGGTAGGACTATGACATGTACCATATCTCTCAGTCTAAAAATTACATGTAGTAGCTTTAGCATAAATTGAGGTACAATATGTGTGAGAAATTTTGTCACTTTTGAGAAAATTGTTGCCCCAGTTTGTGAGGAAATTTACCAGATTTCATGTGAGAAAAAGTTTAGCTCACTTTGATTGAGTAGTGAAGTTCCTCTGGAGAAGAGAGAGATAAAGGGTGTGTTACTCCATACAGTATAATGTGTATTGGCTTACATTTCCATTGACTGCTGCATAGACTACTCTTTCCTCAGTGGGTGGTTTATTCTTTGGTGTTCTATTACCAGCTGCTATTGATAGATCAGCATACAATACTTTATGAGGAGCAGCTGGAGGAGGAACAGACTAGGAGGAGAGAGAGAGAGGATGTATAAGATACCATTACATGTACATGTACATTATCATTACTTTGTTGTTAACTGATGCATATACCACTGGTTGTTCTTGTGTTGGTGCTGCCTGTGGTCTCTTCCCTTTAGCAGCAATAGCCAGATCAGCATACACTGGCTTATGAGCTGATTCATCAACTAACACCTATTGAATATAACAACATGAACCTTAATTACTAATGTACATACCTTATGTACTAATATACAGTACCTTATACTAATGGACATCAGGGGCGTAGCTGAGGTAGGGCCTGAGGGGGCCTGGGCCCTACCATCAAAGTGCCCTTATAATTATATTCATTGAAATTATAACCCAAAAGATTATATTCATTGTTCTTACAATAACAAAAGGGGGTGGCTGATAACCACAGCTCTTTTTAAAGCTATATACAATGATAATTTCACTCTGATTTCGCTCAGCTTG